ATTATTATATCATTATTGATAGTTGAATACATAAAATATTGCAGAGAAATACATATTTTTTTCTTTTCGATTGTTTTAAAGAAGTTTCCTGTGGAAAACAGTGCGTATACTTAATATCTGCTTAAGAAATTATTTTTGTAAGACTATTTTTTTGGCTAATAATATTATATTGATAGTTGAAAACAAAAATATATATTAATTATTAATTCTGCTCTCTGCTTTTTTCATTTAATTGGAAAGAAGTTTTATGTTGCAAACGTTGCGTATACTTAATGTTAGCTTAAGGGATAATTATTGTTTGTCTATTTATTTTGTATATAATAATTTTATTTATTTAATTTATTATTTATTATTGATGGTTAAAGAGATTAAATATTATAGAGAAATACATACAATTTGTCTATTTAATTGTTGTACGAAGTTTCCAGTGGCATATAGTGCGTATACTTAATGTCAGCTTAAGGGATAGCTTTTTTCTTTGACTATTTATTTTGTATATAATATTATTATATCATTGTTGATAGTTGAATACATTAAATATTGCAGAGAAATACACATTTTTTTCATTTCGATTGTTTTAAAGTAGTTACCTGAGGTAAACGGTGCGTATACTTATTATCTGCTTAAGAAAGTTTCTTTGTTTCACTCTTTATTTTTTAATTAATAAAATTATATCATTATTGACCGATAAATATATTAAATATACCAGAGAAATATATAGTATTTTCATTTTAATTGTTGTAAATAATATAATATATTGATAGTTGAAAACTTTAAATATTTTATTTATTCTGCTCTCTGCTTTTTTTATTTAATTGTAAAGAAGTTACCTGTGGCAAACGGTGCGTATACTTAATATATGCTTAGCGGATGGTTTTTTGTTTGGCTAAATATTTTGTATTTAATATTATTATTGATAGTTTAAGATATTAAATATTACAGAGACATACAGACAATTTGTCTATTTAATTGTTTTAAAAAGTTTCGCGTGGAAAACGGTGCGTATACTTAATATTTGCTGAAGGGAGGTTATTGATTTGACTATTTAGTTTGTATATAATATTATTATATTATTATTGATAGTAAAAGACCTTAAATATTCCAGAGAAATACATACAATTTTCTTTTTTATTGTTGTAAAGAAGTTTGCCACAGGAAACGGTGCGTATACTTAATATCTGCCTAAGGAATTCTTTTTGTAAGACTATTTTTTTGGCTAATAATATTATATTGATAGTTGAAAACAGTAAATATTTTATTAATTCTGCTCTCTGCTCTTCTCTTTTAATTGTTTTAAAAAAGTTTCTTGTAGTAAACAGTGCGTATACTTAATATTTGTTCAAGCAATCAGCCATAGAAAATTCCAGACTCATCTAAGAGCTAATTAAAGCAATTAAGAGCTAAGTAGTCTTCTTATGAACAGACTTAAGCCCCCATAAATATTTAAGTGTAAGTAAAAAGCTGCTTCAGGGATTTTATCCCTAATACCCACTTGTTGAGTAATTAAAGCCACAAAAATCAGAGTGTTTTCTTAGCCAGGAGTGTGGTTGTCAATCGGCCTTGACAGCCCAAATTTGATCAGAAGTTTAGCATTATGGGGAAACGATTTTACTCAATTGCCGGGTGGGAAATGATTCGCTTCCCACGCATAACTCTCACACATCCGTTTCGCATTTCTTTGGAGAACTCCCAAAAGCCACACCCCGCAGATTTCCTGCCATGTGTGTGGGGATGACAACAAAGTGAAGGACGGAAATGAGGGGACTTTATGTGTTAGGCCCTGTAATGCGATGCCAAAACAGGCAACGAAAATCCGTTTAGCTGACACGGCAGCCGGCGTTTGTGTACCTCATTTTGGGGCTAAGCAAACAGAATCAAGCTCAGTCAAATTGCTTTACTTTACCGCAGATTACAGGGGTGAAAGGGCAACCCAAGTCACTTTACAATCTCATCACCATCAAGGGGAAATATTTAAGTCATTACCGGGGTTAAATTAAGTTAAGTGATTCATATGGCTTCCTCAGTAATTAAAAATTAACCACAAGCAGCTGTAGTTTTAAATACAAATTATTTCAAATGAATGTCTACAAATTTCTGTTAATAAAAAACATAAACAGAAGTAATTTTATAATAGTTACTTACCTTCTCCACTACAAATTCTCTCTTTAATATTAATCTTTAAAGGTTTAACAGCCTGAAATTTATTTTTCTCAACCTCTAATGCTCAAAGCCTTCTAAGCTAAGCCCCAAAATTATGTAAATACAAGTTGAAAATGAGTTAAATTTCATTTAACAACTTTTCTCTTTTGGACCAAAATTTATGTGTTTCTGGGTCAGTTCAGCAGAGATAAACATTGCAAGTTAAGCTTGTTCATAACAAGCCAGTAACAACCCAAAACCGCAAGCAGCAAACCACTGCCCCATTCCAATAAGCCAGATAACCACCGGCAAACAACACAAACAAGTCCTGTCTTTTTCTTTCTTTTTTTGTATTTTGTATTTTGGTCAACTTTTTACTGGCAGAGACAAAAACACAAACACCTTGGGGCTGCAAAGTTAGCCGGGTTAAGCCGAAAAATAACAATAAAAATCACAATTCAATGGCCCTGACTTGTGAGGTTGTGTAAGCAAAGGCAGAGTCAAAAAGTGAGAATTTAATGTTTTCAATTAGCTAACAGACGAGTGCTTTGGCCTTAAGGAAAATTCTAAAGAAATCCTAAGGCTTTCAGACTTTCTTTAAGTTGAGAGTACATTACAGCACAGATTTTGGTCTTTAAATAGTAACAAGAAAGGAAGCTAACTTCGGCACGCCGAAGTTTATATACCCTTGCAGATAGAACTTCTATGAATAAAAAACCATACAATATAAATGATATATATTTGTGTTAAAAAACAATGAAGTAATACCTGCTTTCATTGTATTCACCTATACATATTATATTTTCAGTTTTACATTCAAAGATTTGCATTTTTCCTCTACATCAAACGATCGTTTGTATGGCACCTATATGATATAATAGTCCGATTTTCATGAAATTTGACACAACATTTAAGACTAATATGAAATTGCTATACCTAAAATTTGATGAAAATCAGTTGAAAACTGAAAAGGTTATAAATTTAATTGTATTAATTTCTCGATCGTTCCTATGGGAGCTATATGATATAGTAGTCCGATTTTCATAAAATTTTAAGAAAAATTGTAGAGTATAGTAGAATGGCCATATCTCAAATTTGATCCAATTCTATTGAAAACTGAAAAGTTAAAAATTTTTTTGTAAAAATTTTCCGATCATTCCTATGGCAGCTATATGATATAGTCGTCCGATCCGGCCCGTTCCGACATATATACGAGTGAGAGTATATAGAAGGCTAACTACAAAGTTTCATTCAGATAGCTTCAAAACTGAGAGACTAGTTTGCGTAGAAACGGACAGACGGACAGACGGACAGACGGACAGACGGACAGACGGACAGACGGACATGGCTAGATCGACTCGGCTGTTGATCCTGATCAAGAATATATATACTTTATATAGTCGGAGGTGCCTCCTTCACTGCGTTGCAAACTTCTGACTGAAATTATAATACCCTGCAAGGGTATAAAAATGTGATGGCAGAGCCAGTTGATTTATCACTTTATTGGAAGTAGTTGAAAATAGTAAAATTAATAAGTAAAAGAGTGTTTTTTTATTATTTATATGTATAAAATGTTTAATTTGACTTATCAAACTTTCAAATTCTGAGCTTTTTATGCTTAAAAAAATTCAAAATTGCAAAGTCCAAGACCTCCATACACTTTTAATTAATTATGTTTCAGATGAGCAAATATATGCAATAATGGATTGGGATTTTGAATTTAAGAAGAAATACAAAACAAATTCATTTTAATACTTTTTAATATATATACTAAAGCTATTTTGATATATGTTTTTATGTGAAAAATATTGAGAATTTGATAGCAAAGTTATGAATCTTTTTTGGTAATCAATATTTTATTGCATTCTCTGGATTCTCATAACGAATGCTTTTAGCTTTAATTGTGTAAAATGCTTCGCCGAATTTTCCAGCTGCTGAGGCGCAGTCAGCCAATTTCCCATCTACCAATTGTCTATTGGCCAAGCTAATGGGCTTGGGCTGGGAAAATTATATGCAACATAACAACAGTGGCTGGAGGGGAAAAAACCCCCCTTCGAATGGCGGAAGCCTGACCGAAAAGCGGAAGTGCTGCCACGCCTATTTATGTGCTTTTAACATGGGCGTGAATATTAATGCTTCATATTTGGAAAGTTTGCTCGCCTGCGGTGGGCGTTGTTTTGGGCTAAGCCACATCGGGGCGGCGGCTTGTTGATTTAATTTCGTGCTCCTCCATCTGAGGGCGTATAATTATTTCGCCAAATGGGCGTGTTCCCACAATGTTCCCTTTTGCCAATTTATGTTCCACGGCCAGCCTGCTCGCGTGCTGGATGGGAATAGGTCTTCCTGTGCCTCTTCTATCTGGACTCACTCTCTCCCCCGGGGTTTTATGTCCTTTCGGTTTGTTTTATTTTTCAATTGCCCCGTTTCGCTGTATTTGCCATTTTCCTCAAAAACTGTTTAGCATGCAGCGCACAACGAGGCTGTGAGTGTGTTCCAGCCGGAGAGGAGGATATTGTATAAGTTTGCTATCTTTATGGCCACTACCCTGGAACACACACACAGACCGCCATCGGGTAGATTAAAGTGTTAATATTTAATGCGCGCGTCGCTTTGAATTATTTGAGCCGTCTGCCTCCTTGCTCCTTGTCTGGTTTTGGGTTTGTCAATATTTTTTCTGCGTTCGATGCCGGTTTTGCCTTTAAAGCCATTTCCGTGTTAAATGCTCGTCAAATATTGATTTGCCTTTTGGCGTGGCTTTGTATGAAGCATTAGACCCACAAGTCTGTGTGCTAAGCTTTGGCATAAGGAACTAAATTTAGTCATATTAAAGGTACAGTTAAGTTTAAAGCAGCAGTATTTAATTTCATTTAAATGTATGTTACACTGAACAACACTTTATTGAGAATTTAGTACATTTGAAGTTAAAATGACATCTGGAAAATTGTAAATGACTCTGAGCTTATGCACAATCGCTTGAGCAAAAGTTAACTATATCTAAACAAATACTTCAAAATGTAAAATATATATGAACATGGCGGATATTTGTACGGTTTTATAGTACATAAGGACCACCAGAGCAAATAACCGTATGGCAAATGGTCATTAATTGGGAAGAGCTTTCGATAAACTATTACTTTTTGCAATTTTGGCAGCAAATCGTTGGTCAGCGATCATTACCACCTTTTGTAGCGCATTCTCCTGTTCGGGTGTCAAATTGGAGGTGAGAAGCGCATACCAGGCCTGGTCCTGAGTGGAAATTACTGTGTGACAGGACATGGAAAGGATAGAAATCATAATAAGGCATACATATATTGTAAGGTATTCGGCGCTTACCTGTAATAACTTCCTTGAACGTACAAAACTCATCGATAGTCGTCCGGTTCTCATCGTCATCGATGGTCGTTGGGAAAGAATCAGAGTCCTCTTCGTTTTCGTTCTCACTTGCCTCCTCAAGTCCCATATCGTCCAGAAAATCCTCGTCGCTGGTCACATTCTCCTCGGAGCCAGAACCATACTCATCCTCATCTTCTTCGTCCTCCTGGGCCCCTAATCCATAGGCGTCATTCAAGCCACTGAAAAGCTGAATCAGGGCCGGCATAATCCTGCCGGCAACCTCTCTTAGCACCAGAGGCTTAGCATCGCCCAGGGAAATAAGGATGCTTAGCCCCAGGACGGAAAGCTTACGATCGTGAACGCTAAAGGTTTTTCAATTAATGATCTAGTTTGTTAGAATACCCTACAAGTGTAGTTACCACAGGAAATATTCCATATCACTAAACCACTGATTGATAAAGTGTGCAATTATCGATTCGTTGCTCTCTTGCGACATCTTATCCAAAATGGAGATCAATTGCTGCGGATTATAGTAGAGCGCCGCTATAACCACCTGCAGGCACATGGTTCGCACCTCTGAGGAGTGCACCCCGCGCCTCAGCCGGGACAATGCAATCTCCACAAATATTTCCATCACCCCATCAATCTGACCCTTGCACTGCAGGATAATCACTTCCAACAGCTTGGCGGCAGACCACTCCTGGTAATCGCCAGGACAGATAGTGAGTATCTAAGTAAATGTAGAATAATAAATATATATTAAAGCTTATAAGGAAGATTTATCTAGTTCGCTTACCGTCTGGCACATGTCGAGAATGGCATACAGTCTATTTGGATTGGACAATAAGGCTGTCGTATCAACCGTCACATAGTTATACAACACTGGCATAATATGCTGGAAGAATTCCATACCGTTACTTTTGAGCACACGATATATCTCTTCGAGCAGTTGCCACATTTCGGTTGAAATCGTCTTCGTGGTTAGCTCATAGATCAGCCCAAAAGTAACGTCATAAAAATCTAACAAAGTGGAAAAGTGGGGAATTATATCACACATTTCCATCAGTTCCATAGCGACTCACCCCTGATGTTGTTCTCGAAAATGAGTGTGACCACATTCATGACTATCGGTTGCATGTTACATAGAACATCGGGATGCTGCCCCATTACACCCACTAGGGTTTCGAATGTGGTAAGCAGACTATAGGCCGTCACAGCCCTCTCGTGGGAGTCCTCTTCCGATGCAACAGCCTGACTAAAGGTTGTGGCCATATGCTGACAAATGTCGATGGCCAAAGGCACCAGTTGGTCCGTAAAGATGCAAAAGATCCTTTGCATAACATGATGTAGGTCCTCGATTTCCGTCTCGCGTATAATGGTGAGCACCTCCTTGGAGACCTCCATGCTTTGGTTCACCACATATTTCTTTGCCTCTTCCTGGCACGATAGGAACATCTGAAGGCAGATGGCCGCTTGAACCTTCACCGGCAGCTCCTTGTCGACAAGCAGGGCATTGGTGGTTAGCCTCATGATCTCGGCAAGCACCTCGGGTTTCTTGATTTGTATCCCAGAAAATGCATGCATCACCCAACATGCACGCGCCCGCATATGTCCAGCGGGATTTTCGAATTCCGGCAGAACGTATGCGGTGAGAAGGGATTCCATTTGAGCGCAGTACTGGACCTTTGACAAAAATACGTCTGCCAGTGTTCCGAGCATGTGAAAGCCGCCGTCCTTCTGCTTGTTATCCACATCAGGTGAGGTAATTACTTCGACAATCACAATTATGGCCAGGGGCAGGACACCCTTGCGCTTCTTGCAAGCGGAACGAAGAAAAGATTCGGCAGCAGACACTGGTGAGCCGTATTCCTCGTAGCCATCTGTAGGGAAAAAGTGTAAATATAATGAAGCCACAAATTAAATTGTGGTAGTAGACTTTCGCTTACCAAATTTCAAGCGAATGAACTCGCACTGATCTTTCTGCCAGAGCTCTTGATCGGAGTCCGAGAACGACAAAATGGGGAAGATCACGTCCTGGATAATGACCTCCATGTAGGGTTTAATGAGCTTCCACGAGTGGCTGTGGCAAGCACTGCGAAATTACAAATAAATTAAAGTGTAATACCAATAAACTTGCTAAATACTTACCCTCTCCTGAGATAGTAAAGAACTGCAGCGAGGACTCGAGGCGAGACATAGATGTGCTTCCGGTACTGGTCAAGGATCTTCAGTAGCACCTCTATGACACCCTGGCTAAAAGTGGGCAGATACCACTTGGCGAATTCTTGATACTTGACATTCACCACATTATCGGGACTTCCATATCTGCAACAGTATATATTTAAATTTAATTTGTTACTATTGATCAGAGGCCAACGCACCGTCTAAACATATTGAGCATGATTTGAAGGGCCCATTTCTTGGTCTTCCAGTAAGGGAACTCCGTGCGCTCATCATTATCGAGATGAGAACAGTCTGGTACATCGCAATCGGCGATATGACGACATATCTCCATCCATTGGGAGAAGACCTCTTTGGTGATGAGCTCCATCGGCAGGTTGTACAACGTAAGGCCGTAGTAGATCTTAAGGATTTGCTTTTGAAGGAGCACTGATTCAACAGACGGGTCGGTCAGTAGGCGTACCATTAACTGGTAAATCATGGGCAGCAGCAAATTCATTGCCTCGTACAGTAGCGTACGGTCTTTGCCAAAATCATAAATTTTGACCAGTTGGTACATGGTCACCAGGGCTGCGTTCCAGCCGTTGACATCCTGATTTTGCAAATATATGCTAATGTTGGCCACCACCTGTGGCCAGCGTTCAGGGAAATCGTTTTTGATGATGTGATTCATGCACACGGACAGCTGAACCCTGTGGCACGGCGCAAAGAGAGAGAGGAACATGTTAAGGCATGGGCAACTCCCATTCAATAAACATACCTGATCAGCTCGGGAGCATGCACAATGGCGTCCATGATAACACTCCGGATAATGGTGCGATCTTGTTCGTAAACGGAGAAGGATATAGGTTTGCCCGTCTCGGCCTCGTGATCTGACCAAAAGTGTTCGATAAAACGCTTAAGAAAAACTGCTGCTGCCTGGCGCACCGGCATCTCCACCGACACCTGCATCACTATCTGTAGAATGGTGGGTGCAAATCCAATGATTTTGCACATCTGCGGGGGAGGAAAGTATATGTTCGCATTTGTTTAAAGACACTAGGGTTCGGGGCGAGTGCATATTATTCTTTTCCCTTGCGGAGCCTCATCTGGAACAGGCACACTTACCTGGTTCAGTTGATACTCGGCGACCATGTGCCGTTCCGGATTTGGATCCATAGTTGCACGAAACAGTTCCACTAGATTCTCGACCGTCATTTTGATCGTTGCTGCTGTTTGCTGTGTTCGAAGAATTGCCGCTCTGGTGGTTCTAATGTTTGTTGGAAAATAATCTGATAAATTTATCTGCTGCCTCAATTTTTACAATAAAACTGGGAAATTTACAAACACATACCTTAGAAAAATTTGGGAAGACGAAGCTTCAAGTTTGTTGAAATATCGATAGTTTATGACATGTAACAACACAGTTTCTCTGAAACCCTGGCAGCAGTATTGGCAAGGCCTGTTTTGTTTCTCTAGTGTTGTAAAATTTGTTTTATTACAGTTAAATTGTGGGATATTTTATAAACAGCTGGAAGTGGGAATTTCGCTATTTTCAATTTTAAATCAGCTGAAACAGCAGGCTGTCTTCTAACGATTTTAAGCGTTTTAAAAAGTATCATCCTTATGTGTGTCATTTTTTATTTTATACTTGTAGAAGTGTTTAAAAAATAATGCCGTGAGCCTGAAAGATACAAAACAAGATGAGGAAATCTATAAGCATTATAAAGGGTTAGTTACATCATTAAAAAATACAATGAATATTTAATTTCATTAAATTTTAAACTTTATAATATTGTTTTGTTGTTAGGTATATCTGTAAAATGAAATACGATGCCCATTTTTTACGATTCTACAATGACGTCCCGGTAGTGACGTAAAGATAAGACCATAAATACGGAAGCGTTTATCACTATATAATAAATATAACCTTAACGCCCGATTCATCAACGCCTAAATTGGCGCATGTTGATTTGGTACTTAAAAAACTAAATCATTCATAACTGATAGATAACAAAAAGTTACCATTTTGTGTGACTTTTGTTCTTCTTTAAAATAAGACAACAAAAATTAATTCCAATGAATTCCGTAGAGTTTCCAATTAAATCTAATCAAACTGTCATTAATATAAGCTATCAACTCCGTATCAGGGGAACACCTCTGCGTATAAACAACTCTGTTGGCCTAATTGGGAAGTCAGTGTGGAATTAAACGTGAAAGAGAGTGTATCCCCTGTCCTTCCCTTAAAGTTTTATAATTTTTAAAAGGGAAATTGTTATGAAAGGTGAATTGTGATGTTATTAGACAGCTTAAAACATAATGCGTTTGTTGAATTGAAAAATAAAGCAACTTAAAATTTGACAAGTTCTCTCGTAAAACAAAGCAAAGCAGTTTTTCTTTTGACTTCAGCTTATATAGCTTAATGTGAAATAAAAGTAATTAAATATAAAAGTATAAAGAAAAAATTATAAATTAATTAAACTAAAATTAAAATCGGAAGAAATATTGTATACGTTTTTATTATATTTAAATGTCAAACTGTTTAAACAGTCCAAGTTGTTCTTATCTCACAAATGCTTTATAATAATTAAAGCTGATTAACGCTCTTAATTATCTTCAGACGCAATCTCCACTTAAAAAGTAATTAATTCTAATCTCTGGAGGGTTCTTATATATTTTACAGTCAACACTTTTAACCATTTATCATGGGTTCTGGTCATCGTAGCCGTATTTTGGAGCTGGCAACTCAATGTTTTGGGTCATGAAACCTGCACCAATGAGCAGCGATACGAAAACCAGGTGATGTGCGAAGGCAAGGACTTCGGTTGCTTGGTTCCATATCCGGATAACTGCAGTATGTTCTTAGTTTGCGATTGTCTATATCCCACGGTGAAGTTGTGTCCGGCACATTTATGGTGGGACAATAAGACGCAGCTATGCAATTACCCTCAAGCCGTGGACTGTGTTTACTATTCGATTGAGACACCCGAACCGACAGATGGAACTACACAAATTACGCCAGGATCAAGCACTGAAAGGACTTCCACTACCGCGGAGACTTCGACTACTCCATCAAGTAACTGGCCAACACCTAGCTGGGATCCGCCACCAGCACCGCCTGGAATTTCAGATGATTATTGCCGGGATAAGAAGGATGGCACTTTGCATCGATATCCCTATGACTGTCAGGCCTATATAAACTGTACCAATAGTTGGCCAGTGCTAAACTATTGTGATCCCGATAAAGTCTTCAATGATCTCCTGAAAATCTGCGATACTCCCGAGGTAGCGGATTGCGAGGAGTTGCCTCTACCAAGTTCGACCACTGAGTTCACATCCATTTCAACCACTGAGATGACAACTATTTCAACCACTACAATGACACCCACTTCAACCACCGAAGAGGATGTGGTTTGCGGTCCACCTCCAGAGGATATTGCGGCGGATTACTGTGATTATTTGGGAAATGGTTTCTATGAGTATCCCTACAATTGCAGTGGATACTTGTCCTGCCGAAATGGTTGCACTGATCTGGATTATTGTCAGCCAGACAAGCTCTTCAATAGTTGGTTGCATATCTGCGATACTCCCGATTCAGTGCAATGCAATCCAATTCCTTATCCAACAACACCAGGAAGTACGGAAAAACCAACTACACTTACAACTCCAACCACAATCAGTACCACAACAACGGAAGGAAGTGACAGCACCGAATCCTCAACTCCGACAACAACAGCAGAGATCCCAACAACTACACCTGGACTTCCCGCCGATGTTAATCCGAATGAATGCAAAGGTTTGCCCGATGGCACCATTATCGCTTATGCTGGAAACTGTTCGCAGTATTTGATCTGTAAAGATAATAAAGTGGAGATGGGTGAATGCCCTCCCACGTTGCTCTTCAATCCCGATTGGCTTGTGTGTGATGAGCCAGGTGATTTTATATGTCTGGGAGATCGCACCACGACCACACCGATTCCAACTACAACCACTGAGGAAACTACTCCAACTCCTACGACAACCACCACAAAAGCCACGACTCTGGGACCCAATGAACTCTGTGAGGGTCAGCCATTAGGTACTTCGTATGCATATCCCGAAGATTGCAGGAAATATTACTTATGCATGGGCAGTGGAGATGAATGGTTACTTGCAAGCTGTATATATGGAAGTTACTTTGATCCAACCACCGGAGAATGTGGACCCAATGTTTCACCTGTTGCCTGCAAGGGTGTAGAAACTACAACTTCCACAACCACTGTGACACCAACAACAACTGAAACGATAACCTCTCCAAAACCAACAACTTCGGAACCATGGACTACCCAAAAGATATCTACAACCACTGAGGCTCCTGCGACAGGTGTTTGTGCTGGTCGAAATGAGAACGAGAATATAGCTTATCCCAAGAATTGCAACAAGTATATCGTTTGCGTTTCACCCATACCCATTGCCTTCTATTGCCCCGACGAGACTTTCTTTAGTTCAGAGTCTGGAAAATGCATTGAAAGCTGGACTGAGAGTGACTGCGAGGGAGATCAGAGCACAACTACTCCAGAGCCCGGCATTACGAGACCACCGCCTGAGCCCACAATGTGCACGAACAGCACCCGGGATACATTCCCATATCCAGAGAACTGTCAGTGGTTTATCCGTTGCGTGGACGATTATATTTACATGATGGACGTTTGCAACTGCGGGGAATATTATGATCCCATTACGGGAAAGTGTGGAGCAGATGTGCCATCTGATGCTTGTCGCTGGGATTACACATCAACTACTTCAACCACCGAAGAGCCAACCACAAGCTCACCGGTCACAAGACCGCCTCCGCAAAAGGGACCCTGTGACGGTGTAGATGATGGTGCATTGGTGCCATATCCCAACGATTGCTCAAAGTACATCCAATGTAGTCGCCCGATTGCAGTGGCCTTTGATTGCGGCGAGGGAGATGAATTCAGTTCGGCTCTAAAGAAGTGTGTAGATGCTTCACTGGCCAATTGTTCTGTTACCACCACCGCTAAGCCATCAGAAACGAGTACGACTCCAAGTGGTGGGGAACCTACGTCTACTTCTGGAGAATCAACTACGGCTTATCCTTCTACACCTACAAGAGAGTCTTCAACTGTATCTTCTACAGAGTTAACCACGGAATCAACAGCTGCACCATCCACAGTAACACCAACGGAATCAACTACACTTTCAACAACTAAACCATCTACAGTGTCTTCCACTGAAAGTCCAATAGAAACCAGTACATTGCCGACCACTGAATTCTCAACCACGTCTTCCACTGAAAAACCAACAGAATCCACTACAATTTCTACGACTTACGAACCGGAATCTACGTCTACTACCACTGCAAAGCCTGGCGATGGAGTTTGTGATGGCAAGACGGATGACTCTTTGGTGCCTTATCCCAGAAATTGTAGCAAGTACATAATATGTCAATATCCTATACCCGTTGGCTTTGACTGCCCAACAGGCTTGGAGTTTAGTCCCACGGAATTGAATTGCATGGATCCCGAACTAGCTGGTTGTAGCACGAAGTTAACAACAACACAAGAACCATCAACTGCAGCATCTACAACACCAACTACAACCGAGTCAACTACTGCAAAGACAACATCTGAGTCGACAACAGTATCAACAACAACCGAGACAACTACTGCAAAGACAACATCCGATTCAACAACGGTTTCAACCACTTCAGAGACTACAACAGAATCAACCACAGTTCCTACAACTCCCAGAACAACATCCGAACCAACAACAGTTTCGACAACAACCGAATTAACAACTCCAAAGACAACGTCTGAATCGACAACAGTATCAACAACAGCTTCAACCACTCCCAAAACAACATCCGAACCAACAACAGATTCAACGACAACCGATCCAACAACTCCAAAGACAACTTCTGAGTCGACAACAGTTTCAACAACAACCCAATCAACAACCGTTTCTACAACTGCGGTGCCACCAATAACTCTTGATCCTTATACCCCAAATATTTGTTGTGGCCAACCATTGGGAACCCTGCTTCCCTATCCAAACGATTGCAGTCGATATGTTGTCTGTGACTATCCCATTCCATATGCCGTGGATTGTGATGGGGGTACAGTCTTTGATGATAAATTGCTTCAGTGCACAGCAACACCCAATGAGAGGTGCCTTATGATGTCATTATAAATCTATAATTCAATAAAGTGTGGGCATATACAAGCAGCAGTTCTCAATCGAAATCACCTTTAATATCTAATTTATTCGACAGACAGTCTACAATTTGAAGATAGCGATAGCGATGTTTTGCAGTCAGCTGCAGACAGTTTATAAATTATTTAAACCTCAAGGCATCAGTAGGAAGTAAGCGAGCTTAACATTTAATATTTTCCTGTTCGATAGGGCTTGTTTGCTGTCCTGAACCGTGTTTACTTTTCCCGCTTATGGTGGTTATTTTCCACAAGAACAAACTGTTGTTGGGAGCCAGCCAAGCAATGTCTAACTACATTCGATAACTTGTACTGCAAATTGATTACTCTTTCAGGACTTTGAAAATGTTGGCTAAATTTTAATCTGCAAGAGCATTCAGGCATCGGACGGACTTTGGTGCCCCTTTCGAATTTTCAACTTTTAGAGGTTACTTTAGCTTGTTGCTTCTCGTGATGCCGCTGTTGGTTGCTGCCAACAACAAGTTTTTGCCAGTGCTTAAATATTAACAAGTGCATCAAGCCGGCAAAGTTTTCTGGCCCAAAGTTTTTGGGCTGGCCTCATAAAAAGACCTCGGGAACTGGCGTTATTCGGAAAATCAATTACCGCACACATTTGCCGGGGATCTGTGGCCACTTTCCGCCCTACACTACGCTCTCTTGTCTACATTTCGCCGCCTAACTATCCTTGCATCCTGGTGATTTTCCAGGGAAGGGATGACAGGAAAGGAGCTGGCAGGGACTGGCAGGACCTGGCAAAGCCCATCTTGTCTGGGCGCTGATATCGCCACAACGACAATTGACCGACATTTTATTTAATGTCGCCGTTCATTAGGCAGCCGCAGGCTTCGTAGAGTGCCTCGAACCGCAGTCGCATTTAGTCTGCAGCCGTTCACGTAAACAACAAGCAGACGGACCAGACTATATACACTGACAGAAATTTAGTTATCAAACCATATTCCTAAAGAACCAAAGATGTTAGTGAAGTATGGGTCTCTTTGAAGCTAATATGGTTGGAATCGCTGGTTAATAAATGAATGAAGAAAGAAATCTGTTTGAATTGCTATACAATTTTGATAAACATCTTGCTTAATTCCTGAAATTCGTATGGAGCTTAAAGAGCTAATAAGATTGGAATCACTTATAGAATTGATTAATTAATTAATTATGTATTATAAAGAAATTTATTTAAATTGCTATTTAATACGTCCTGCATCCTACTTCACTCTTTAAGATACTTTTTAACAAACACCTCAAATCGCCAGAGATATATAATTCCTTAGCAATTTTTCCTTTTAATTTCCATATAATATACAATATCCAATCAAAGTAACACCTATTTTCTTTCTCTGCAAATCCGTAACCACAAAATTAGAAGCTGGTCGAACTTGCTCCATTGCAGCTCTATTCCCCCCCTGTTCATGCCGCTCGATCATGTGTTTGTATCTTAATCTGATAAATACGTGGCCGGGGTCTCTCCGGTCCGCCGTTTGTTTTGTGCCAAGTTCCTGCAGTCGGTTATTGATGGTCTGAACCTTGTGGCTGGGGCTTCCGCTGGCAGGCGAGTGCAGGGATTTTCCCGTTGGAAAAGCAGGAAAGCAGCTAAAGAGATACGAGTTCTGGTCACGAATCGAACGATTTTCCGGCTTTAAGCAGCAACAAATTGCATATGCTTTGGATCGATAAGCCCCATTGATTCGTGAAACTCTTTAAATCGCATAGAAACATAAATAATATTAATTTAAAATATTTTTTGTGGTTCACGGTGACATGCGGCAATGCAACCGCATCTCATTTATAAATTTAAAATGCAAACAAAAAAAAATACGGAAAATTAAAGGGAAAATAATGTTGTGTATGAACATGAGGAAATTTTTATTTCGCCACTGGCATTAAACATTTAAATCACATTAATGGTTTCAACAATTCGCCGCCGATCTGGCTGTGCATTAAATCAGACACATTATCTGCAAGCCAGAAATTTATTCAGGCTCTAGCCCAGGGCCTGTTGACTTGACCCACAAACGAGATTTTCATTTAATTAACTTTCATGTGAGGGAAGAATTTTTGCAGGCTTCAAGCATTTCCCACAGTGATTTATGAGTTGCAGTCCTTCTCAGATGTCCTGCGGTTAGTGAGTCTGAATGTGTGGAGCGACAAAGTTTGTCCAAAGAATATTCGGAGACAGTGCTTCCTGCACTCTCCACTCTGGCTTTTGAGTGTCAGTTACATTATTCATTCGAAGCAAAAATAAACTTAATATTTGAATGGAAAGTATATTCTTTTGTGCTGCTGTTCCTTGAATGCCGGTTAAATTACAAGTAGTGCAAATGAAATTGAATTCTATTTGCCTCAAGGATTCAATTTTGCATGATATTAAAACTAAAATCTATGTGTCTGATGCATAAATCTGTCATCAGGATTAAATTTATATACCCAAACTAGCTTTAAGGCTGATAAAACACAATTAAAAGGTAATTGCCACTGGAGGATTTGGATATTGAGTTATATATTTTGTTATTTTTCACCTAACTCGAAACACTAAAGTTGTTTGCCCTTTGCTGGGTGCTCCGTCACCTTGTCAGTTTTAATGGCAAAACTTTTTCACTTAACCTTAAGTCATGAATTGATTTCATTTTCGTTATTATTTTTATTTTATTTTTGTTCTTAACGACTTTGCACTTTGCACTTTGTAGTAAGAGAAACTTCTTCCTCCTGAGTAATGACTTTACATGCGTGTCAAACGTGTGCGTATATATCCTTATCCATATCCATATCCTTCGCCACGTCAGGCTAAGCTGGTGTCATAAAGTTCTCATAAGTTTTGTTGTCTGTCTCGTTGCCAGACTGCTGTATATTTGAAAGTCAAGAGCCCCCCAGTTTCCTCACTGACAAATTATGTAATATGTTTGCCGTATTAAAGTTGAACAAAGTTTTACCCATAAAAAAGGGGGAAATTAACTTTCCATTGCAGGAGATTTTAAACAACTCAATTTAATGGTTACTGGCATAAACGGATTTTCTTGTTTGCTAAAGTTTATCTATGCAGGAGAAATTATTAAATAAATGTTAGAAATATATAAAGAGAACTTTGAGGGAACCATAGTTTAAAGTTTGCAGTACAAAACCTTTTAAATTAAATTAAGTCTGTTAGAAAATATGTATTTTTCAAGGCTAAAGTATTTTTCAAGGCAATGTAAATTAAATTACAATTTTCTTAGTTTCTCTAAATATAATGGCTTACAATATCCTCATCATAATCAACCCTCTCACTTTAAGCTCATTATTACACCGAAAATCAAATAAATTTAGGCTCATTTAGCACGTAAATCATTTAATCACCATGGAAAGTCGTGAATATTAGGTTACAACCCCGCGATAATCGATACCTACCATCGGGCAATTAATTACGGGGCTCTTTGCCTAATGCAGTACAACTCCTTCCATTTCAAGAACTTTGCCTCTCTCTGTGCTCCTGGATTTTCCACTTTCCACTGCCCCAGGAGCAACTCGTACAGCAACTCATCGAGGATAATGAAAAATGAAAATTCGAGTATGTAAGTTCTGTTTGCGTTGTTCGTTCCTCTGCACTTCCTTCTTTACACTTGCCTCCATTCTGCATACATCAATAAACAATAACAGCAAGAACATCAATTTACATGTGCATGTCAGGAGTTGGGATGGGTGAAAGGAGCAGCCATATCCAGGTTCTTCGGCAATCATTCATTTTGTTAATGAATTGCCGCAACTCCTACAGAAGCAGCAGAAGAAAAGCTGAAGAGGAAGGCTGCCGGTAAAGGCGATGTAAAATTAAAATGAGTACGGACATAAGGGTGCAGCAATATTTCATTGTAAAAATGGCTTACCATAATAATAAGGAAACAAGCAGATAATCGGAATAGCAGACTATAAGTAACCTCTTATTGGGTTATTTGGTTTAATATATTTACAGGGAACACATGTGAAGATATGAACTATTAATTTATAAAGTTAAAAATATGTTTATTTGGTTATAAATAATAGCAAACTTGTTGTTTTTAAGTCAAGTTATCTTTACTCAAAGTGAAGTTTTACATTTGTTTCTAAAATATAAAAATAATCAATAATCAACCCTTTGAATTATAATAAATTATATCATATATATTTATTATATTTTCTATATTTAGTAGTATGAATTCTGTTACTCTATAATGTTTTTTATATATCCAGAAACAAAATATACCCCTAGAATAGCGACATACCCTAGATAGTAGCAATTACCACGGAAAGAAAGATGCCAGTACAAGGTATAATTAATATTGCTCATACGCAGCGTCTGCCCACGGAAATTACCTTTACACAGATATACACACACCGCACACACACACCGCACACACACGGCTTAAGCCGGATTCCAGTTTTTTTTGTGTTCTCTTTGTTTGCCGTGTTGAGTGGACATCTGGATATTTTCCTGGACATGCGATAAATCTTCGGTACGCTGATTTCACATGTGCGAACCTTTGGGCAAATTTAGATTTATTTCAATGCGTATGCAAATACATTGCTGCTGCCGCAAAACTTTTGACATATTTCACTTAACCCACAAGACAAATGCCTTTTTAATGTCCATAAATTATGCGTCTCGTCGTTATCGATGACCGAAGCTCTATCTAAGGCAAACAGAGCTAACCAAAAATGTTGACCATAAACATGATGTTTCAATGCTCTTCCTAGTGTACTTTGAAAATTGTCTGGAGTATTTTATGTATGTGAAAAGCTGCAGCCTGCACTCTTTCACATTTGTTGGGCATTTTCATGGGGCTCACCACCGAGCATCTCCTCTATCCACTCCCCCTTTTGGCCGCATAAATCTCCTTGTTTAGCTCTTCTGAAGCTCAGACCAAACAATGAAATTAAAAACATATTTTCTGCTCATTCCGGTCTGGGCGCAGTCGGGATTTAGATTCAATTAAACTGTCAACGGGATTGGGGACTCACAAGAAC